CTAAATGATGGCTAAATTTTTCTTGTTCGATAATGGAGATTGTTGTTGGAAATAATTTAACAAAACCAATGGATGTTGTAACACTATTATTCACATTACTTTTCTTGGCATAGTACATACCAGTGCCAAGTAAACCTTGTTTTTCTAATTTTTTTCTAGCCATAGTACGATTTTGAACTGGATCTGTACCGACACGGGTTGATGCCTTTGTGATATCACTTGCAGACATAATTGGTGACTTTAACCGCAATATCTTTTTACAAATATTACGAATTTCCTTTTCGTTCGACTTCTCTAAATGAATAAGAAGTAGGTAACGCTTCTTATCACATGATTATACAAAAAAGAAATAAACAGCCTGAAATAATCATAATCCTGTATAGGTTTTACCTTTTTTTTCGTATTTCGTATTTTTATCCTTAGTAATATTTTGCAGTGTATCACTTCCATCTTTTTCTGATGTTTGTCCATTTCCTATTAATTCTTTTTCAAATGTTTGTCCCTCTACACTAACACTTGTTGCTTGTCGATTCAAAATTATGGTCTGACTGTTTGTAATATCCGCTAATTGACGATTATCTAAAGATACATAAAAAAGAAAGTAAGTATGGAGTTGAATTATAAACAAAAGAGAAGAATCTTCTGAAGTTCTTAGATCATATTCCTTCAGCAATATTAGAATGCATCTCACTTAATTGATCAATATTATTCAATTGATCATTTCCTATTTGTTGGTTTCGAGTTGCAACAGGATTACGATCAAAGTCTTTTAGTTGCTCATTATCTGTTCTAATTTTTGATGTATGTTGTTCTTCAACATCATCATTTACATTAATTTGATCTGTAGAATTATCTAAGTGAATAAGAATATATAGAAAAAAAAAACTAGACATGAAATAGTAGAATAAATAATGAATTTACTTTGTGCGACAGTGTCATTTTCCATAATATTTGCATCAAACCAGTTAATAAGCTGCTCAGTTGTGGACTGTTGTTGTGGTGGTGGATCTGATCGACCCCACTGTAATAATTGCAAAACATTTGATGGTTGAATGGATGATGGTTGTAATATTGTATCGGCAACTTGATTAGCTGTCTTTAAAGTAAACATTTATTCACCATTAATCGCTTTTTTTTCAAGTAAACCGTCTTGAATCAATGAATCAACGTCTTGTCGAACACATTCATTATTTAAATATTTTGGAAAATCTTGATAATATTGTTTATAACGTTGTATCATAAATCTTGAAGCAAGGCATGTTAGGTTTTTCACCGATAATGATCGTTCATGAATTTGTCGATAGTCCCGTAAAGTCAAACCCTATTTATTTAATTTCATCTCCATATCAATTTCTTCAACGACACTGGTGTACAGACTGCCGGTGGTGGAACTTTATGAAATGCTATTTCACAATTAACTAGAAATTTTTCTCTGAATAGTAGACCATCAGCAATCAGCACTTGTTCACATGCATGAAAATGTTCTGGATGCTTTTTAAATGGTCCACATACTTTTAAGTCATGACGATCATAACCAGCTATCATCGACGTTGAAAAAAACGTATAAGGATATTGTAATATTGTTTTACAATGAGCAGCGATGATAACAGCCTGATCACGTTGTGTTTCATTTATATCCACTATTGTATCAATATTAAAGATTGACCTCATTGAATCAAAGATAAACAAATAATATTCCCATGCTTGTTGACATGTTTTTTTATCAATATACAGAACTGGCATACCTAAAGACGTTAAAATATATATAGACGAGATCTGTTGGCAGACTCAAGCAATATAACGAAATTTAATCCAGTCCATCTCAAAACTTTTGAAAACTTCTCCTTCTTAAAAGTCGATTCTAGTTAAGAAGGTTAAATGCTTAATATTAAAACAAATATTAGACTCCTATACATACCAGATTTGGCAGATTGTATTGCAGTAGATAAAAACAAATTATCTATTGCTTTAACTGCTGCAGCTATAAATTTTTGTGTATTAACACCATTTTCACTAAAGGTATCATCAAAATCAATAATATTTTGTAATTCATTTAAAATAGATACAATATTTTTATATAATTTAAGTAAAACACAAATACGTGGATAAACATCACTTGCTTTAGCATAAAACGATGCAATATGCGGGGATAAATTTTTAAACTGTGGATCAAGCAATACGTCAGTTTGATCAGCAACTTTATTAAATACATAGTAATAAGCACTATTCTCATCGACGATTTTGTCCGCAGATGTGCTTACTGTTGCTGTTATTTGAAATGGATCTGAATGAAGTAAGATAACAACAACAGAAGTAAGTTTACAAATATTTTAGTAAGTTACCAGTGATATCGAAACGATATTCTATCGATCCAAGTAAATGACACACAATAAAAACATGAACAAATGATGGTATACTAGCATGGTCTGGATTAAACTTCAGATCGGTCGGGCGAGTTGCTGCTTTATACCAAACAGGTAAAAATAGCATGCGGCTAAACAAACCATCTTGACCATTCCAATTTGCCCAACGTTTCAAAACATTAGCTAAATGTGTTCCTGTAGTACCGCCTAAAATGGACAATTTAGCATCTTTTATTTCAATAGTTGTAAGTGATGTTGATCTTGATAATCCATCAATACTGTCGAAAGATGCACATAATATAGGAACTTCTTCTGTTGGTTTTTCGTTGTAAATACCCCATTTCACAAATACACCATCAATTTCATCGTTTACTAAACATACATCACCGGTAGCCAGTAATTTTA